AATAAATGACTTTAATATTATCATATTATAGGTAAATGATCACATAAAAAGTAAATATATAGAGCAATAAGATCTTCAGTCATGACAAAGGACTGTTTGAAGAGATAAACTAATGTTTCACAAAAAGGACACAAATCATTATTGTCCCACAATATCCAGATTAGTTTGGTATGTGTCGTGTACATTAGCAATTTTTTTTCAATATTCTTTTCTGATTAAGAGCCAGTTAACTTATTCATCTTATTTTATCTTCTAAGTATGTATCTTCTAATCTTTATATATCTTCTAAGTATCTGTGTCAGTCTTTATTTCCTTGTATTTCCAAACAACCACGTTTTGCGGAAATAGATTTCAATTTAATTTTTTTGTTTATAAGTTTTCTATTTTAATGTAAATGCTGTGAGGATGGTTTTCTATTCATTCATAACCATTTCTCCAGGTCTTTTAAATTGAAACTTAAGTAAGTAAAAGTGGCTTGAGGGTCGCTTGTATTACAAAGATTAAGAATATCATCTTCTTATATTAGGTACAGAAATTGGTCAAAGTATTTTGCCTTATGGAATACCAGCGTTAGTTTCTTATTTTCCGATACAAAATGCTTTCTCTTTATGTGGAAAATTCTACATCAGTACAGTAGTCCATCGTGTCATATTTTATTGAACGTCTGTACCATGTCCACAAAAAGGGCATGTCAGTGTCTCCAAGAGGCACTGATATCTTCAAAAGAGACCGTAGTTTTGAAGTTCGATTGCTCAAATTGCTTGTTTATATTTTAGTCAGTTAACAAATTTCCGCGTTTCGTTTTAAAGAGTTGACATCTGAATTTCTTATACACTTCTCTTTGAATTAAATCTGTTAATGTTCGTAAGTACGTAAGTTAGAGAGCTCTTTGAAATTAATTCGAAACCATTATAAGTTGCCAAATTGATTTGTTTTTCTTTTGATTTTGTTAGCCTTAAACGCTAAAAGGCATGCTTCGCATTACCTATATCTCCGACAGCTAGTAATTTACTTCTAAGTATTTCGATAAAAAAAATAAGAATTTTCTGAGCAGATGGTTAATCTCAGTTCACATTAGGCCATGGCTGGTGGAAGCTTTTGTTTCTAACATCAAGATTTAAGAAGCTGTAATTATCGAGCTTATTATTATTTATTATTGACATGTTCAAAAGTGTTAATTCAAGAACTTAGTCTAATCACAAAAGATTTCCAATTGTTTCTATTACGCGCTATAGCTCTTAGTTCACTGAGAGATTTACCTGACTCTTCGTTGATTGTCCTTATCCACTTATCCATGTAGTCTTTAGTTGATCGTGATTTCCTTAACCTTGTGGATTAGATTCTAGAGCAGCAAGTATGATTTCGCTGATGGTTTTGTTCTGTTATAGCCCACAGTCGGGCGTTGCAGATCGTTTTAGTCTATCAAAGTCTTAAAATTTGTCTCAAGTGTTTATTGATGAAGATTTGTAGATATCGAGCTTATGTTGGTTTAAAATATAGACAATAGTATATACAATTCATTTTTTGCTCAAAACTTGTAACATATTAATTAAAGTTGGAAAGTTAGCATACGATGAATATTCCGTATGAATTCTTCGTGGATTTCGTAAACGCTATGAAGTGCTTCTATATTACTTATTGGACGATTTGGACAAGTAACTTCATAATATTTGGAAAACCTGACCGGCTCAGCATAAGATGTTCCAAGATTTTATTGAGTAACTTTTGAAGCTGAATTTAATGTACTCAACGTCTGTCTGTTATACATTCCTTTCATTACTGATCGGCCCATTGTGATCTCAAAGTATATTGGACATCCTATGATGTTTAGTATCAGTTTTATTTTTATAACAGGATTAGCTCCTGGAATTTTTTTCACAGCAGTTGTATTGCAAACAAAGGAGTTGCAAAGCAGAAAAATCACTTTTTTACCTTTCATTTGGCTTTTTTAATTTTTATAATCAATTATATATACTTCAATTGCGCGATCCCTAAACTTTTACAACCCTTTATTTACACTTTTTAGTAAAAAAATAATAAATCTTTGAACTTACCTCGCCAGTGAAATACTCTAGTCCTTCATTGATTATTCCGTATTGCTTTCCATCTACAGACATAGATATACTCTCAGTCGTCCATGATATTGAGTAATTGTGAAAATTTTCACCGAAGTGATTTTCACCTAGAAATTCCATAAAATTTTCTGTACGTTTTTGGTTTTTCCAATATACTATTCCAGCATATAAATGCTTGCCGTCAATACCTGACTTGCAATCGTCTAATAAATTCTGATTACCTCGCGCAAACGCTATTCTAATTTGTGAATTTTCATCTTCATATGGGTATGCTGGTTTCAGCATTATATCTGGAAAATATATTTATTATTTAGAAAATAAATTTTCTATTATATTACACGTATATTTATGGGGTTAACCTACATGGAAGTAACCAATCTCCAATCGGCAATTTCGCCCTTATATCAATGCGTCCATATTTAAAAGTAAAAAAATTCTTCGTATTGATTTGTGATGAATTAATAGCAGGATAAAATACGTTTATTATTTCGGTATTGATATAGCAGGCATCTCTAAAATTGCTCGTACATCTATGAAGACATTTATATAATTTTTAATAGCTTTCCTTAATTTGATAAAAAAAGAACTACTTTTTTCTGAGATCAATTGGTTGGGCACGTATTTTCTCGGTTACAGTTGGCACGATGTTTAAACAACCATCACTAACGAAACAGTTCTTTTTTGAGTTATCGAAGAGCACGAATTCTACACTACGATTATCACTGTTCTTATTGTATATATCGTAACTCCAACGAGAGAGGTTAACTTCATCTGTGTTGTCAAAATTTTCTTCAAATATTAAGTCATCTATGCAATTAACTATTGCGGTAGTCGAAGTAGTCTGCGGTTTTCGGCAGTTTTGATTGTTAGTATGAGCTGTCACGCATTCCGGAATAAAATCTTCAATGCTATTTTTTTTAATATTGGATGTGATCACTTTTTTGGGTTTACTATTTTCTATTCGAAAATTTTCTGTATTCAAATATATGCTGTCATTATGGACAATCATTAAGGTAACGGAAACACGGTCGTGATTATTGAGAGTTATGTTTTGCTGACGAGCCGACCACATGTTATCTTGAGGTTTACTTAAATAGTCCATTATTGTTGAACATATATCATTTATTTCAATAACATACACAACCTCTGTTATTCCAGCTTTATCTAGAAATATTTTTTTTTAATAAATTGATTAACTTTTTCAATATAATACAATAATACATAAAGGATATAACCCTGGAACTATTTACGAAAACTGACAAGCTTACCAACACCGCGTTACTGAATCTCAGAAAAATTACAGGCTCCTCAGGGAGGTATGCAGATCTAAGGTCAGTTATTGCTTACTCTGATCAGTTAGTAGAGAGTAAAAGTTGGAAAACACTATACTTTTTATACTACCTTTTTTTATTAACAGATTTTACAGATCGCATTTACAGTCTTTGTCTCAAACAGTAATACATTTATTTAAATTATGCTTATATTTATGATCACTACAACAAAACTACGCGATCGGTTTTATTCCTATTTTGTTTATAATTGTCATTTTAATTATTCTTCTGAAATTTCGACACAGTTGGGAATAAGCAAAACTTGTGTAACGAAGATCGGAAATCTATACCCAATTTGTCTCCGATTTGCAAGGCAATCCTCAACTTTAAGCAGAAATACGAAACTGCAGTAGAGAACCATAGGCAGCTTGTCCATCACGATATACTAATCTTTGCATGGAGACTGTTAGAAATATACCTTAATCAGCTGAATTAAAGGTCGCGTAAACGTAAAAAACCGTTGCTTGCCATAAGGGATAGGGTGATTTGTATGGAATTGATAAAACTATATAAAAAATGAATAACAGACGACTTGTCGAAGATAGTGTTTTCCGACGAAATAAAAATTATTTGAGTTATTTGCGTCCATGCATGAACGCGCATGGACTTGGTGTGTCAATGGAAGTGTTTTGCAGTTGAAAGACGTTTAGTCTACATTAAAGTATGGCAAAGAGCCAATTATGATAATGGGGCTATATGATAGATGGCGGTGTAAGTACAGTACAAAGATTTATAGATAAAATACATAATGTTATGTGAACATATTGAGCACAAACACATAACGACACGAAGCACCTAATGAAGAGGACTAGTGATACTGGGTACAAAGTGTCTTACTGGCCATTTCAGGTCTCTGACCTTATCCCATTGAATATTCATGCGAAGTCCTTAAAGAAAATAATGTAGATGTACCAAAAGATATGAATGAATTGTGGGGCTAGGTGTGATAGTATTTCAAGATAAGAGGTGGTTATATAAAATAATATAATTTATGTGAATATTTGGTATAATAAATATTTTGAAAAAAAAACTATCCATATTTGAAAATACATATATTGATAAGAATAAAACCTATAACTACGATCATGTAGATTTCTGACAGCTATCAGAAACATAAGAATCATTTAAATACGTGGACAGTAATTTAAATAATTTATTATATATTTATAACATTAATCCATAAAACTTGATGTTATATAAAAATTAGCATTAACATTTAATTCAGGTAGAAGTTCAAGAGTTTGCTTAAAAAAAATCCCATAATTGATAAAGATATTTTTAGACAACAAGAACAATACTATATTACTCGATTAAATAAACTTTTGTAATTCATTTTCATTTCATTTGAAAAAAGCACATTTTTCTCTGAATAATGACGCTGATTAATTTGTTTTGTTTAAATGAATTAAATAACATCAAAGCTTCGATAATAATAATGCTTTGATTGGATTAATAATGATTTGATTTTATGAATAAAATCTTTGTTTTCTTAATATTTCTACAAAATCAGCATTTTATCGATTTTAGTTGCGAATTTAGGAGGCGTGTATCTTGTACATCTCTCATGTTAATGGATACATACATACATATGAATACATAAATACGATAACACACACAAACAAACTGAAGCATTTTGGTTCTTTTGACAATCTTACCAGGAACTGATATCTGAAATCCGGTATGTTTTAAGTCAAGTACGATTTCAGGCATCGTATATGCATAGATCTCAATAAATCCATAGACAACTAAAAAATATATTCTAAAACGCATACTAAGTCTTGAAACACTACAACAAAACACAATAATTTGAATAGATTATCTAAAACACAAAATCACACGAGCCGTTTGCAGATAGATCGAACACTAAATTGAGAGTAATGGAACGATAAGAGGTTTGGGTTGCTTGTGCTGATCTATGAATACCTCGAAACTCGTTTTCGAGCAGAGCATTTACTCATTAAAACCGCAAGTAAATAAAAACTCAATTTGTCTAATGTTCTTTCTCAGAAAATGCTTCGCAGATTAATGGTAGCAAGTCATACTTGATGCACTTACTTTATTTACTTCCATCGGACTTGTTCCGAACATGCATTTTACTAATAATATTTTGATTAACATAAATCAAATAAACAAAATATTTAAAGTAACTAAAGGCGTCTCACTCATCAAGTGAAGTGCGAAATTGTTTTTGTTACTTAAGCCTGAAGTTTACTTAAGATATAGATTATTCTAAAAATGGTTGGTTGTTTATTATTAGAGAAGGAAAATACATATAAATAGATAATATATGTGTATTAACTTTGTTCACCAAATATTTTTATTGACACAATAATGAAAATAATAACCGTATTCTGTTATAAAGAATTATACAGTACTTATGTAAATAGGTGTTCCTTAGATTATCGATTTGAAGTTGCAAGTCTTTGCTGGTAGCTTTGCTCACTGGTACCAGCTTAGGTACAGAATAAATATTGGGCAAGACTAAAGAGTAAACCGCAATAACGAGGAAGAATATGAATACCAAGGGTATTCTAAAAGTAATGACAAATCGATTCAAGTCTTTTCTTGTTTTTTTTTTCTTTACCAAGAAATAAATGTATCGAAAATCTATGTAAGTGTTCCTATTAGAACAACCGTTAGGCTGTAATTGTATTGTTACAGCTCAATATTTGTAATGTCGGATTTTACATATACTTCTAAAGTCACTTTTAGTAGGATGCGTTGGATCTTTGTCATGATTTCTGCTGCTACTGGCTGGTCTGTCTGCCATTTTTTATGGAACTTGCACATGTTAGATATTAGTTTACTTATTCTGAATAGCTATACTTCAACTGCAATAGCACGGGGCTTCGATGCAAAAGTAGTGTAAATACTGTTTAAAGCAGTCATGTTCGCTTACCATCTGCAGTACATAAAATATACTCCGCCATGTCTTCTATTCATCAATTTTCTATTTCCCGGGAAAAAATTCGCTGCAGTTAGCGTGTCAGTGTGTCAAACAGTGACATTATCGCTATATGACCTGACCAGATAGTAGGTTGTTATAAAACAGCTGCTATATTTAGTTTGCATTTACCCAGTGCACTACCCAAACATGATTAAGGATCAGAAAGTTCTTAAAAAATTCAAACGGAACCAAGTGCAGTGAATCAATAAATGTATTAAATGTATTAAAAAAAGCTTTAAGAGACGATACTGTGTCACAAACACGAGTTTATGAAAGATAAATATTCTATGAAGAAAGTCGGGAAGACATTAAAGATAAGTTAAAACCTATACAATCAAACAGATTGCGTTTGTTAATAGACGAGTTTCTATTAGAGACAGTTCTGTAAATATAGAAATTGAACGTAATGGCTCAAACACAGACATTTGAAATTAGTAAGGTAGGAGTTAACAATCGCAGGATCATGCAATATTATTCGAATGCCTGATTGCTACCAAACGGGACATCAACTTGTTTGTCTGAAAGGGTCCCGTATGGTTTTTTAGCTCTCAACTCGACAATTGAAGCTCGTTCACTTTCTTTTGGGCTATTGAAGCAACTACACTTAACTAAAAACTGGGTTTTATTAAAAAAATCATTAACTTATAACATTCAGGCGAATAAAATTTAGGAGAACAAAATAATAATGAATTAATTCTGATGGTTTTCCTTCTAATAAAATTTAGGTATCCTATAAGTACGAAATAACAAAGCCTAAATTTCTACCTAAAATTTCTAAAAAGGTTAAAATAAAAGCCTAACCCTCTTATTCAGAATTCTTAAATAATAGTTAACGGAATATATACGTATTAAGTTTTATTGGCACATTTCATATAGTAAGCAGATGATTTTTGATGATATTGGTGATATTGGTGGAGTTTTTAGCCGAAAACTAAGACACAACCAACGCTGTGTGAGCCGGTGATGTAAAATCCATGAGTTTTCCTTCCATAAATCTGACCTCTTTTTGGGAATGGACTCACGCAAACGACGCAAAATAATACTCCTTATTCACCGTTTGACTGTCCGGAAAGAATTCATAGTGTACCACACCACGAATATCAAAGAAAACAGTCAGCATAACCTTGATTTGGACCGACTTTGGCGTTCTCTTTTCGGTTTCGGCTTACCTTCGAAGCACCAATCGGTCGATTGTTGTTTGGTGAGCATGTCAAATTCATAGACCCATGTCTCATCACCAGTTATGATGCGTTCGATGAATGTGTGACGCTTTTTTTGAATGAAATTCAGCTAAAAATCGCCACGTATAGACGCCAAACAAAAACTAATCGTATGATATGCGTTAAACTTTAACAGAATGTGTGTAATAGTGTTGCCAGCGTGAAAATAAAAAAAGTTTACCGATTGAATAAGCGCGGAAATTCAAAAAAAAAACGAATAAATTCTTTTTTGATCACAAGGTATATGATATTAATAATAAATTTTAGCTTTTCAAATTATAATCTTAAAATGTTTTATTTACATTATTTTTAAAATATTTTAACATTTATATCAATTTATTAAATAAAAAATCGCTTATAGCGCAGACTTTAATATTATCACTGAAGTTACTTAGTTAGGTTTAAATGGCATAGACTCGTACATAGTCCACGAGGAGTTTTGAATTTTTCCAAGTTGGTTTCCAATTGTCACGATCTTCCCAGAATTTCAGTGCCCCACTTGGCGATAAATTTTCCCATGGTTTTGGTCGGTAATAAGATATGCAGCCCTCTGGAAAATCAATATGTCCACCGGCAGCTAGACCAATGGTTATATAAAACTGGAATTGAAATAATTCTTTAAAAGTACTATTACAATATTTTTATTTTAATATTATATGTATTATTTTGAGTATTATAACATTCGTATTATTGTGCATAAAGGGTGTGCATCAGCAAAGAAGTCGGAGTCTGCCATATACATCACATACATGCGTAATTAAATAGTTTGGCTTAACAATTCGGCATTTGGATGCTCGTTAACTAATTTTGTATCCACTTTACTCTATGAACTAAACGAGTTAGTCTTCGTCCAAATAGATTTCGTGAATCAAGGTAGACATAGTTTAAGATCACTTTGTTAGGATTACTTAATTGACTACACATGTGAAGTCATTTCTGCTATAAATTAACTTTTACTCGTTTAGGTCAAAATTTTTATAAATAAAATTGAGATAAATTTAATAAATAGTAAATTATTGATATATAACCTAACTATATGTAGAAAAAATTAAAAAAAAATAAATTAAAGTATCCGTAGGTAGATTATACTGACGATACCAAGGGACTCACTTAAGCCCATAGGTACATTATGTTACCGTATAATTACAAATTCAAGGGTTAGAAACACTTAGAATCTTTGGCAAAGCAATGTATCGGTAAAGGTGGAGTTAATTTTGTTAATTTTGTTTTTGGTTTGTTTTGAATTATCATTAAGTTAAGTTAAAATATCATTAAAATTAGTTTATCTTAGAATATCAAATCTATCACCTCTTTATCAAAAGGTGCCATCGAATCACCGCTTTTCCATGCACTGGAGTAACCCAAGTCTTTTGCATAAGTCTCTGCGAAATTTCCTTCAACTACTCCATATTCTTCACCATCAATGAAAAATTTGAAATTCTGCTTATTCCAAATCATTGTATAGTTATGGAATTCTTCACCGAAGTGCACATCGCGATATGTGCTTCTTAAAGTTTTTTCCCGGAATAGTGTATTTGGAGTTACAATTCCGCCCCCATAGAGTCGGCGACCATCAATGACATCATCATTTCGTGACATCAAATTCTCATTTCCTCTAGCAAAAGCAATGCGAATTTGTCCCGACTGATAGTTGTCGTGCCCGTAAAAATTTTCTAAAGGTTCCAAAAGCAACACTTAAAAACTCAAATGAAAAACTAATGAAATAAATAAAATAAAAGTGTGCCTTACACGGCAGTAGCCAATCTCCTTGTGGCAGTTTGGCGCGTATTTCAACTCTTCCATACATAAAACTAAAGGATTGCCTAGTATTCATACGTGCAGAAATTACAGGTGGTAACACGGTTGCAGCGATGCCATGTGCAACACGCTTGCACTCCAGTTCGGAATTTTTATAGCCAGTACATCTAAAACATTATTATAATTGTTATTTTAATAGTATATAGACTCAAATGGATTGAAATATACCTGTCGCCCAGGTTTAAACGCCCATGTTGTATGTTAGTTCCTGGCTTGTCGTTATTCCATAAGATAGGAATTATTTCTACTTGTCCATCTTTAATACGAACGTTGGTATCATAGAGTGTAAATTCGTAGTCAAGCACATCTTGTGCAATACGCACTTCCTGCTTCCACAACTGTGAATTCAGTTTAACGCCATCAAAACTGTCTTCAAAAATTAATTGATCTTTGCAAGCTTGTCGTTTTCCATATGTGGTAATGGAAGGTAAGCAGTTGTCGTTTTTATTTTTGATTTCTATATCCGGATTAGGAGTGTTTGTATTCCTCTCTTCTTCTTTCTTTAAATCAATATTTGGGTTTTCGTTTGTATTATTAGTATCGCTAGTATTTTCATTAGATTTTTTTTCTTCATTATCATCCGTAACCTCTTCCTTACCTTGCTTATTAGTTTCGCTTGTGTTTTGACCTTTTGGTGGAATGACATTGCTTCTAATAGATTTTACAAAAATTGGGTTAGAAGTCGTCCGATATACCATTTTGTTATGTTGCACATTGATCCATAAATAAACCACATCATCATCTTGTAGGTTTCTTTGGTTTTCGTATGCCCAACGGTTATTGGTTGGTGCGAGTACCCTTTCACTGTATTGGCCTTCTTCAAATCGCTTGAACGGCTGATTCAGTTTAATATTGAAGGCAACGTTTTCCACTCCAGCCACATCTGTGAATTTGTATTTTATTATTAAGTGCATATTTATATTTATAACTTATGTTACAAACACGATTTGTAAAAAATGGGAAAATGTATATTTCCCACGATAAGAGCCGACCAATGAATTAAAAACAGGCATCTGTATCTCTTCAGGTTAAGTATTGTAAAAAAAAAAGTCGTTTATATTTTTAGAGTAAAATTTTGTTGCTCTTATCAATTTGAATGCCGAATCAGAACCATTAGATGGGAAAAAAATTAATGTTTACCTGGAATTGATACACGAAATCCCTGCTCAAGCAGTTCCAATTTAGGTGAGGGTATTTGATATGCAAAAAAACTCCAAAATTGGCTTGTAAACAACACAAACACACAAAAATATCTGTACATATTTTTTATTTTAAAAACTCATAAAACTAAAAAATTTTATGTTAGACGAGCGACCCCCACACAGTTACGTACTCTGTGGTTGAACGCTTCAGTGTGACTGATTTCTAGCCAGGCAAGACTGAGTTTCACGACTTAAGCTAAGCCGTTCTGCAAAATCTCAATCTCGTTTCTTTGTTTCTCACATCTCTTTTCTCGAACTCCTAGAGGGGAAATACTTTTGGGAGGTGTGTAAAACAAAAAAGCAATATTTTTACTAGATTTTAAATTCTCAGTTCAATAATACTAATTGTATCTCACTTAAGGTCATCAATTTTTATTACCAGTACTAGATGTTGTTTCTGTTGAGTGTGTGTAGCCTTCAGAAATCTTCACTCTACATAAATATACATTACAAAGCTTCATTCTTAGCATATTCAGTGGTCAGGGAAATTGTTTACGTTCTGAAATTTATGCTTTGATTGACAGCTTATAAAGATTTAAGACTAAGATACAAATTGATTATTATACTAATACTAATTGTTTAATGCAGATGGGGTTGGGTTTTAGATTTCTTTTAGTAATGTGTAATATTTTGGTTTAATAGAAGTTAAACCGTTTTTGAAGCATTTAATGTTATCATATATATTGAAGAATCTAATATATTTCATCATAGAAATAAATTATTGTCACTTGACACAAACAGCTTAATTGGTATAAACATATGAAATGCAAACGGAAAAGTTGCTCTACATCTCCTTAAGCCGCTGTTTAATAATAATCGCTTCAACCTCAAAAATAGAAAGTTATTATGGTCGTGTGCGAGTTAGGCTAAGTTGATGCTAAACCAAATGGGAGATTTTTTGGGATTTTTTGCACTGCACACATTTAGCCATTTATCAACACGTATCGACACATCACTACATTATCGGCTCATCTTAGAATTTCCCTTATTTAGAACGCAACTTAGGCTAACTCGCACACGTCCTATATACTCAAATAATTAGGCCAGTACTACTGTACGGATGTGTAACATACAGCAAATCCTCAAATAGTGCCATAAAGCAATTACACATAGCACAAAATCTGATTTTTAGAAGACTAATTAAGATTCCTTGGTATATTAGAACGATAGACATGCATAGAGATCTAAGAATCGATTCAGTGAAAAAATATATCAAGAACAGAGCCCTAAAATTACTCACAAAAGTTGATACGTTGCCCAACCCCGCTCTAACAAACCTTAAGTCCACCTCAGGATGCACAGGAAGATATGCTGATTTACAGTTCGTCATCATTTATGTTAAAAGATAATAATTCTAGTATAGTTAAAGCAAAGAATCTATAGTACAAAGAAGTGCCACGCTCATACAAACGAAATACCCACTTTATTTTGCTGGTGGATTTATAATAAATCCACCCAACCTCATGCAACAATGTTCGATCGAGTCACAACTGGTATGATGTCCATTTTAAACCTACATATATGTGAGTCGAGTAAGGCTGACAAAAGCCCGACTGCATTCGTATTCAATCATACATGCAACCCTCTGTATTATATTATACGCATGTTTGTATGTTTGTTCGCTATAAAATGTTCAAACGATCAAACATTATTTCAGTGACGAAATCAAAATTGTGTACATTTGATAAGTTATTGAATTTAATAGCATATAAAACAAAATTACCTGTTTGCTATTGGTATGAATTGTAATGTAAAAACACATTACAAATTTATTTATGTCTCAAATCTGATTTTTTCCTTTTTCTGACTTTTCCAATTTTAACATTTCAATCCTTTGTAAATAGCATTTATGCGCTTCCTCAAACCAGGAAGCATTATTAGTGGTTTTAGTGACTTCTATACATTTTTTCAATATAATTTTTCTTACTTTTCTAATATTTTTATTTTCTTTAAAATACTTTTAAAACACTTTTATATGAATCTTAAAAACATTTTTTAAAATAATCACAAAAAGTCACCAAAAATTCAAACTATTAAGAAGTAGTTCCTTTTGAGGTAAAATATATGCACAAATGTGCAATAAAAACATACATATTAATATACTATAGACTTCATGTCTCCAATATCACATTTGTACATACATAATGGTTTTTGTAGTGCATCATTTTTTGCAATAAAAAAAATAATATGTTCTATTACTCTTTACTCCTATGATATAGGCCTTTCCAGTACAAGAAAATAAAGCAACAAAGTACATGGTAAAATTGTTTCAGGGATTTCTTTACCATTCACTTCGCTACTAATCAATGTATATTAATAAAATAGACAAATAAAAACAAGAAAGGCAAAAGAAACAGGCATATAAAAACAATTGTGGGTTGCAATGAGTTTGAACTGAACATCATACCAGTTGTGACTCGATCGAACATTGTTGCATGAGGTTGGGTGGATTTATTATAAATCCACCAGCAAAATAAAGTGGGTATTTCGTTTGTATGAGCGTGGCACTTCTTTGTACTATAGATTCTTTGGTTAAAGCAAAGAATCTATAGTACAAAGAAGTGCCACGCTCATACAAACGAAATACCCACTTTATTTTGCTGGTGGATTTATAATAAATCCACCCAACCTCATGCAACAATGTTCGATCGAGTCACAACTGGTATGATGTTCAGTTCAAACCTATATGTAAGTCAAGTAAGGCTGACGAAAGCCCGACTGCATACGTATTCAATCATACATGCAACCCTCTGTATTACATTATACGCATGTTTGTATGTTAGTTCGCTGTAAAATGTTCAAGCGATCATACAGCGTTTCAGTGACGAAGTTAAAATTGTGTACATTTGATAAGTTTTTGAATGTAATAGCATATGAAACAAAATTACCTGTTTGATATTGTTATGAGTTGTAGTGTAAAAACACATTACAAATTTATTTATGTCTCAAATCTGATTTTTTCCATTCTATGAAGCTTTATTCTTGAATGTTACCCATGCGCAATATTTCCGAATCAATATCGTAATCACCAATTTTAACATTTTAATCCGGTGTAAATAGCACTCATGCGCTTCCTCAAACTAGGAAGCATTATTAGTGGTTTTAGTGACTTCTATACATTTTTTCAATATAATTTTTCTTACTTTTCTAATATTTTTATTTTCTTTAAAATACTTTTCAAACACTTTTATATGAATCTTAAAAATATTTTTTAAAATAATTACAAAAAGTCACCAAAAATTCAAACTATTAAGAAATAGTTCCTTTTGAGGTGAAATATATGCACAAATGTGCAATAAAAACATACATATTTATATACTGCAGACTTAATATCATGTCCAATATCACATTTGTACATACATAATGGTTTTTGTAGTGCATCATTTTTTGCAATAAAAAAAATAATATGTTCTATTACTCTTTACTCCTATGATATGGGCCTTTCCAGTACAAGAAAATAAAGCAACAAAGTATAGGAAAAAATTGTTTCAGGGATTTCTTTACCATTCACTTCGCTACTAATCAGTGTATATTAATAAAATAGAAAAATAAAAACAAGAAAGGCAAAAGAAACAGGCGTATAAAAACAATTGTGGGTTGCAACGAGTTTGAACTGAACATCATACCAGTTGTCACTCGATCGAACATTGTTACATGAGGTTGGGTGGATTTATTATAAATCCACCAGCAAAATAAAGTGGGAATTTCGTTTATATGAGCGTGGCACTTCTTTGTACTATAGATTCTTTGGTTAAAGCTTAGTGTGCGGCAGGGATAAGCCCCCAGCCACAAAAGAGTAAAAGTGCGCAATAGCACTAACTCAAATCATAACAACAACAACAGTCAAATTTAGACAGTTGGTTAATTTTCTCAATTGACTTACTTTGTTATTCGATCTGTTTTAAAATCATAAAAAAAACCAATCTATAAACAAAGCATAACAACTCTAAAACCGCGCCCTGCGTACATATTTTTGCAACACATTTGTTTTTGTGAAACCATCTACTATTCGACATTATCTAATTTCCCATTTTATATCATATATTTAATACCATTTTAATTATAATATTAATTATTATCTAATTATAAGTATATAATCTACACTATGTAGATTATGTATCGTCAAAAGAGAAGTGTGCTTTGCCCAATCCACAGAAAAGGTAATCCTGCATACAGTGCCAACTATCCAAGGATGAGTTTTTTAAATATCGCATGTAAGGTTCTGTCAACCGAACTATGTGAAAGATTGAAGATTGATCATTGTCAGTGTGGCTTCAGACCTGGCAAAACCACCCTAAACCAGATATTCACAGCGCGTCTGGAAATAAGAAATACAAATTGACACACATCATCTATTTATTGATTACAAACTCGCTTTAACCTAATGTTGGAAATAATAATTCGAGCAGCAGATTTAAACCGCAATGGCACAATATTCTACAAAAGTGTAATGCTGCTTGCGTAAGACGATGATATTGATACATTTGCCTGAATACCCGCGCCGTCAGTGCGGCATTTTCCAACATAGAAAAACAAGCGAAGCAAATGGGTCAACAAACAAATATCCTTAGCACCTTGGGACCCACGTCACTGTTAACAATTATAAGTTGGAAGTTGTGATAGACTTTGTTTATTTGGGAACCAGCGTAAACACCAAAAATGACGTCAGCCTAGAAATTCAAAGAAGAATCACTCTTGCCAACAGAGATGCAATTAAAAAATAAAGTTCTCTCTCGACAAACGAAAATCACGCTCTATAAATTTCTTATCATGTCGTGCGAATGGAAGAAAGTGCTACGGCTAGAATGGTGCTTGATTCGGTATCTGCAGGTGGAAAACGCAGTACTGCCATAGTAGTCATAGTTTTATAGCTAAATTTTGTAACGACACGTTTTGTTCGTTTCTACTGCCAGAAGAAATAAATGTTATAATAAAAAGCATTTAAATATAAAAAAAATATAATATAAAATATATTACAACATATAAATACTATAATAAATAGCATTTATATGTTATGTCCTTTAATACATTTTGGGGGAGGAAAGGAAAACTGTTCAAACCTTCTTCCGAATACGCGCCCCACAATTGGCTGCCTTTTAAACGAATAGGAATATTTAGGGATAATCTGAAGCTTATTTACTAACTTTTTTTATTATTTATAAAATAAATAACAACAAATTTGAATTAGCATAATTTTAATTCTATTTAATTCTACAAAATAATACGATGGAATGCTTCATTATGATTTTCCTAAATTAATGGATCCACTTATTCATTAAATCTATTCATTTAAGTTTATAAAATTATACACTAAATTATATTATATTCTTAATTATTTATTAATTTTTATACGAATGCTTTACAAAAAAATAAAACTATATCAAATGTTTCCACAACGAACCGCAGCCCAAGTGGGCTGCTTGACACAGACATCATTCCTTCAATAGTTCTTTTATAAGTGTAGTTCCTCAAGAGACTTTTTAACTTGATTTTCCACTTACTGCATACATATAATATATAATTTATTAGTATAAGATTGCAAATGTGTTTATTTGCATTATATATATATAGGTGATTTTCCATGCAGTTTATTTAATATTCAATATCAATTTTCGATGCAAAAACTTAAAATTAATCAAAAATAAATGCATAAAAGGAACTAAGAAAAATATAATTTGATATACTTCTTCATTTTTTATGTATTCCTTCTTTTGCAGATGAAAAGCGAAACTGCTAGTTGAAACCACTTTCTTTATCCAGCTTAAAATGATTTTCCATTTTTTTTGTTACCGTTATTGCGTGACTTCTTGCGGCGCTTTTCTGACCGATCGATTTCAGCATCGTCATCATCACTGATTAAAACATTTGCTGACTGAAGATATGAGGAAGAAGATGAAGAGCTGGCACTGGTCGCTTCCCTTGTAGCTAAACGCCTACTTGCTATACGCAACGATAAACGTCCCATGCCCATACAGTTTTCCAAATGCGATGCAAAACGAGTACAGGAGACCGGCTTATCACAGTTGGGACATATGCAATCATCCGCTTTCTTGGTATTCGAAGGGCCAAAAATGTCGAAATTCGGTAACTCCACAATGCGATGAGAATTGGTTGCATCGTCCTCTGGTACACCTTCCATAGCTGTCATATTACCATTTTTTCGGAGATGGTGCACTTCTAGAAATACTCCTACCACTGCATCGTCAACCAATGATTGATACAAATAATTGGCTGCCTCATCCAAGGTTTTTGGATCGTTAACAATTTCTTTGTAAGCCTTAAGGAGAGCAGCTGTTGTTATTGAATTTGATTTTTCAAAAGACAAGTGTTTAACACTAATCCCAGGTGCATTTATTTTGTTACTTCCCAATGCTGGACTAGTAGATGGAGCTTTCATAGAATCTGTTGCCATTTTATTTAACGTACTACTGAACTTTGCGGACCCCTCACTCTGCCTTACTTTTGTCAACAACAGAGAATAATTGTTTGTATACTTATTTTATGTTTTATGTGTCTGTAAATTAAATTCAATATTAAACGACATCAGCTGAGCATCTATTGTGAATGGGTTCAGTAATGTACTTGCGTAAACCCAGCGGGAAATAATGTAATATAATTGTGTTTGTAATGCTTTTTTAAATTTTAATTATTTTTATCTTATATTGCGTTTACATTGGCCGAAAATGACTCATTTTGAATGAATGGAACGCATACGAACGTCGTTGGGACGCATTCATACAGAATGTGATGGAATGGCTCATTCGCGCTTAAAATTTTATATGCAAGAATGAGCCATTCGCTTCTCATATTCGATTTTTGACCAAAATGAGCCATTTTCGGCCAGTGTAAATGCCGTATTACATTACATAAGAAAACTAATATTAGCATAATACCTTCCATAAAACTTCCTAAATTATTTAATTTAGAACTGTGAACCTTTCATTTTCTATCCGATAAAAAGGACAATATATGCAGATTATAGAAACAAATTAAATGAAAATTATATATATAAATGTTTATATTTGTAGGAATCTTATTTTATTTATTTTATAAAAATAAGTTATTGTAAAATTTGTAGGTATTGTACTTCACAGAAAATTTATTTAACAAAGTTATCTCGACATAATGTTGTGTTAGAAGGCTATTGATGGGAGGTCTTAGTTTGTTTTAAAGTAAGTAATACAATTATACAATCTGATGGTCAAGCTGTTTTGCTTTTGAGGTCAGTCTAATTCAAATTTAAAATTGTATTTCTTTCAGGGTTTGAATTGCTGTTGCTAATTGCATTGCTTGCATAATTGCTAACGCATTGCATATGAAAATGAAATAAAAATATGCATTAGCAACAGCAAAAAACGTAAACTGGTTTCATTTTGATTGCTTGCTAATAGTCAATTTTACATTTTTGACTATTATGCATTTGGAATATATGCAACTTGCTTGCTTATGCGTTAGCTGCTTGTGTTTTGCTATTAGCAAATGTATATGGATTTCTTCTTTTTGTTTTTTTTTTAAGGGAATGTGTACGCATTATTTCTTTGTTGGTGCATTGAATATAGTTGTGCAAAATTGTAAGTAATGTGTGTGCGTACAATTTGTATGCAATTAATATTATTTTATCTGTAAATAGATTATGCCTAAATTTATGTTTTTTTTAATTATTAAATTTATGATATATATGATATATATGATATATATGATATTAATTATTAATTATTAATTTATATATATATATATATATATATATATGTTTATATTTGTGGGAAAATTTTAAATAATATGTAAAACATATTATATACAAAGTTGCCGTTATTCTAAAGTGTTTCATTTTAATCGGTGTATCATGGCTCCGCGACTTAATAAATTCGCAATTCTTCAACATTTTAATATAAATAGTGATAGCGATTTAGCAGTTTGTAAAATTTGCAAACATTCGTTGAAGAGGGACAGAATATTTAATTTAAGAACACATTTAAAAAATATGCACCAGTTAAATATAAATAAAAATGAAGATTCCAGCTCAAGTAGTAGTGCAATAGTTGTGAAAAAATCATTCCGAAAACAAACAATTAAAATCGAAATGAGCAACGAGCTGTACGAAGAAGTCGAACTGCTAAATCGCTATCACTATTTATATTAAAATGTTGAAGAATTGCGAATTTATTAAGTCGCGGAGCCATGATACACCGATTAAAATGAAACACTTTAGAATAACGGCAACTTTGTATATAATATGTTCTACATATTACTTAAAATTTTCCCACAAATATAAACATATATATATATATAAATTAATAATTAATAATTAATATCATATATATCATATATATCATATATATCATAAATTTAATAATTAAAAAAAACATAAATTTAGGCAAAATCTATTTACAGATAAAATTATATTAATTGCATACAAATTGCACGCACACACATTACTTACAATTTTGCACAACAATATTCAATGCACCAATAAAGAAATAATGCGTACATATTCCCTTAAAACAAAAACAAAAAGAAGAAATCCGTACACATTTGCTAATAGCAAAACACAAGCAGCTAACGCATAAGCAAGCAAGTTGCATATATTCCAAATGCATAATAGTCAAAAATGTAAAATTGACTATTAGCAAGCAATCAAAATGAAACCAGTTTACGTTTTTTGCTGTTGCTAATGCATATTTTTATTTCATTTTCATATGCAATGCGTTAGCAATTAGTCGTTTGACAAAAATTGACTGGTCAATATTTATGCATTAGTCAAAATATGGTTGCTTTTGCTAATTTTCAGCAAGCAATTCAAACCCTGATTTCTTTCTTATATATTGTACATTATTTTGATTATCTACTTAATATTAAAATATTTGAATTTTTAATATAATAATATAATGAAAAATTGAAATAATTACCAGATAAAATCCATTTCAAGTTGCACTTATGGCAATCAACAATATTAGTAATAAAGATTGTTTAAAGGTGTCTATTAGTACATTCACATTGTATCATTTAGGTAATTGCCCGTTTAAATTAATGAGTGAACTTTATAATGAGCTCATTTACACAGCTGATAAAACTTTTAAAAGCTTTTATAAACTTCACTTAATAATACATCACACAAAAAAATTTAATATGTGATTGATATATAAAATTATTTCTATATATTTTATATGTCAATATAAGTAATTGATATTTACATATTCAATTAATAAAAGCAAAGATTTTATTAAATATATACTTCCTCAGTAGCTCCTTAGTTCTTTTGTTCACAGCTTAGCTATTGTTTATTTACATATTACATATGACACATTTTTCAAATTTTGGTAATTTCCCTTGAGGAAATTTATTTTGAACATCTTTGCCTTAAACGAGCTGATTTACTGATAATGAGCTCGTATATGTGAAAACTCTTTGTATGGTAACTCAACCTCATTAGTGGTTATAATGAGAAAAACCGTCTAAATATGAGGGTGTGAACGTGTCTAAGGACGTGTGTGAATTAGGCTAAGTTGCGTTCTAAATGAGGAAAATTCTAAGTTGTGCCAATAATGTAGCGATGTGTCGATACGTGTTGATAAGTGGCTAAATGTGTGTAGTGCAAAAAATCTCCTATATGGTTTAGCATCAACTTAGCCTAACTCGCACACGTTCTAAGATGCTTTTAATGTACGATATAAATATTACAACTTAGCTTGCGAATTCGCTTTAGCCTTATTAATTACTTTTATATGCTTGCACACATGCTCCTCAGTGTAAATAAATTACAGATTGTTCCAAATATAAATTGTTCCAATAGTAACGGAAACACAATTCCAGTTTAATCTTATTATAGGTCTGTTCCACGAGCTACTCATAGTAACTTTGAGTAAACACGAGCGCGTTCCACCAGCAAATTTTCAAGTATTTTTGTGTAAATTTTACTTCTGTTTTACTCATGTTATACTATGAGTAGCTCGTGGAACAGACCTTATATAAGCTAAATTATTATTCATCGGAGGAGTGTTTTTTTATATTTATATTAAGTTATGTGTCACAAATTTCTATTGTGAATAACTTGACGAAGAAGAATGCGGATAATAAAAACAAAACAAAATATATTTAGTTGTCCAGAATAGTTTTGCGTGAAATAAGATTTAATTGCAATTTGCATATATAAAAGAATTAAAATGGTAGTGTCTGATGAGAATATGAAATTTAAATTACTAACGGAAAAATTAAATCAGAAATGCGTGGAGATACAAACGGAAAATGAGCGAATTGTTTTAAGGTAAGCTCAAAACTTAAGCCCTTTTCACGATTCATATAACTATTGTTTTCAGAATTAATAAGACGCGCAGGATTTTAAGAAAAAAGCAACGGGATATAGAGCTACTAAAGCGTCGCCTTGATAAATTCAACGATGGTTGGCGCTCGATACCAATGGTTGCAGCGAACCCAAAGAGAAAAATTGAGCAAAAACGCGGTCGAAAACCTAAGGTGAAGGATACTGAAGAAAAGCAGCCAAAGGAAAAAAAACAGCGTGCAAAAAAACTTGCAGTTGAGTCTATTAATAAGGATGTAGTTGCAAACACGGCCAAATTCCAAACTCCCGATAGAAGTCTCGGTGAATACATAAAATTACCTTTTCCAGACGGAAATGACGTCCAAAATTAAAACAATGATTGGCTGTTTTATTTAAGGTTTATTGTGAAAGCTATATAAGACCACTAAGTGATAACAATGCTTTCGTTTTTTTACGAAGCTTAATTTTAATAAAATATATGTAACTAAATTCAAGAAATAGAAATTGCCTTTATTGAGGCGTGATTCAACGGCTTGTTCGAATGTAAAAACTTTTCAGGCTAATTATTCAGCTTGTCGCAAGCGTGCCAGACGCTGTGTTAGCTCGTCTTGTTCCTGCGATACTTGAGTCGAAGCACCAATTGTGGAACTTTGAACTCCACTGGGTAATTCCATATTCAACTCCAAGCTAAATAAATAAATAAATTATTTACTATATATAAAAAACAATATTTTGGTGTTTCCGTACCCTGCCTCATCAGCCACTTGTTGTAACAAGTTATCTACATCTCCTTGTGGTACAGATGTAGTGACAGTGTCTGACATTGTATGCTCCATAACTGAGCTCTGTACATCCAAGTCTTCAAATTGCGACTCAAACTTCTCCATCAGAGACGATATTTTCTCAAGATTCATGCCTTTCATAGCAGCATCCATTGCCTTAACAACGCCTGCCATGGAACTTGTTACCTTTCTTGTTGTGAGTGCAGACTGAACACGACTGGCTACTGCATCAACTCTAGCGCTCATACGCAAATAATTGACAGCTTGGTTTTTTTGTCTAATGGCGTTTTCAGCATGAATTCGTGCTACATCCATATTTCCCTTTTGTATGGCCTTTTTAGCTTTCATCTTTTCCAGTTTCTCTTCCTTTTCACATTTTTTGGAATTACGTTCTAAATCCTTGACGGCGAATTTCAGATTGAAGAGATGCTCTGTAAATAGTTATTATAGTTGAAATAAATTAATGACTCAAACTTATTTGCGTATCTATGGAAGAAAAACTCACTTTCCATTGCTGATGTAGACATGTCGTTACCCAGTTTGAAATTTTAATAAAAGCAATGAGGAAATTAATTACACTTTTTAATTTTGACAGCCAAAAATTTTTGCTATAATCTTTTAATTAATTTCTATTGTTTATGACGTACTTTTTGTTGCTTGTTTTAGAAATGATTCATTTTCGTTTTCAGAAATGTCAAGTAAACATATGTACTGCGCAGACACAGCAGCCTCTAGCGGCGAAAAAAATTTTAGGCATCGACCACACTTCGTAATATATAATATAATTGAACAAATGATTTTATTATGGTTTTGTGCAAATTACTAAAATGTTATATTAAAATTTTAGAATTCATATCATAAATCGTTTAATAGATTTCGAAAATCTGATACGTTAATTGCTATAAAAAAATATTTTTGTTAACATATTTAATGCTCTGAGAAGACATATATATTTGCTTACTGTGCTCTATATCAACAAAATGTATATAGTAATATAACATAATGTTACAAGTGGTTTCTTAGAAAGGTGCATGCACACTAAAGTGAACGAATGAATACTCGCAGGTAATCGTAACTGCAAAAGTTCGTTCGATCGCAAACGTTCGCTTTGGTGTGGATGTACCCTGATAAAAAAAAGTCATGTGATTTATAATTTTAATATTGTCATCTGTTTAATTATAACATATTCTAACATTTTGATTAAAGTATGATATTAGAATAAAAGAGTTGCACAAATGTATTAACGTGTAATCCTCACAGATTATTAGATACATTGCGTTCTCAAATACTGCTTATCTTATATGTTATATATAATAAGTTAAATGATTTCAGTCGCAATATAATGTCAAGAACGAATGCACGAAAATATAATAAAGCCGCTATAATATAATCACTACAATTTTACTTATCTTAAACAGTGTTTTAAAAAAGCTATTTAATAAATTTGATAGATTTCGGTAAATATTTATTACATATATATAATGCGTGCTTAGATTATTGTTTTCAAGATCTTTAATACATATGTATAATGCACATACTTATCATAAAATAGTAAATATAAATATTAAAATTTTTTCTATGTCAAAAATTTAAGCAATAGATGGTTTTTAGCATATTTTTATTTAAATAAAAAAATAGGAAAAAGTGAATCTAAAAGTAATTAATACGTAGTTTGAATCAAACTACCCTTTCCAACCGTTTAACACTCAACAGTCAAAATAGTGACACGCGTTATCGCCTACAACCATAGTAGTTCTGTTTTTTGACGTATGTAGTGATGAAAAAATTAATATCAAAGGAAATTGCTGTTCATAAAAATATAGAATACAAAATTGTTTATTGAACATTAAAACATAAAAGTATATAAACTGCAGCTAATAATTGCTGACTTCACACTCAAGATTCTAATGAGTGCAGATTATATACGCTTCGCAACTTCATTAAAGTGGGTTTGCATTTGCGAATAGTTTGTCATTTGCTTTTTTTGTCGAATCGCATTTTCAGCATGAATTCTGGCTACGACCATATCTCCCTTTTGTAACGCCTCTTTGATTTTTAATATTTCAAGTTTTTCTTCTTTTTCACATTCTTTGGAATTGCGTTCCAAATCCTTTATCATACGCTTCAGAGTGGAAAGGTAATCTAAAATGAGCAAATGTAATATAATAGATAAAAAATAAATTTCACATATATGGTATTCGATTATTTGCACATTTAAGATGTAAAATCTTACTTTCCATTGCTGATGTTAACATATCGTCACTCAATTTAAGTTTAGCATTCTACCTGTCAGATATAAATAATATTTTCATATGCAACTATTTTCTTTGCTTAAAGGATGATTCATGCTAATTTCAAAACAAGTTTCAACTAATAATAACTACAACCTTTTACAAACTCTATTTCAATTCTTTACAAAGTTTTCATGATAATTGCATGATATGTACTTTTTACTATTAATTTGGAATTTGAATATTATAATTTTTTATAAAGTAAAAAAGCCAATTCTATTAAAACTGACTTGAAATTTATTTATGCGAATGAGCGCATACAACTGTCAACACAACTGAATATAAAATTTAGTGTTAGCAGCGGCCTCTGTTGGAAAAACTTAGTATATTAGGCGGTGTTTACAGGAATATCTGTTTACTTGAAATAAATCATGAGAAATCTTATTGGTCTTTATGTAAAATATTACGAATTTTTATTTACGAAATTTCTAAAAATATTGCGAAAAATCACGGAGGAACATCAAAACCTTTTTAAAGCAAAAAACAAGAAAAAAAACTTGAGATTTAACAATACCATATCGTATGTCGTGTGCAGATTGTGGAAGTAACACTTTAGTCAATAATACGGGTGACTAACTAAGAAAAACAAATTTTTTCTGCCAAAAATCGATTTTACTCATCAATATAATCTCCTTCAAGGGCAATACAATCATTCCAACGCTTCTCTTACTTCTCGATGCCGTGCTTGTAGCAGGATTTGTCTTTTACCTCAAAATAGGCTTCAGTTGCAGCAATTACTTCTTCATTTGAGATGAATTGCTTACTGGTGAGAATTTTTTTGAGATCAGCGAATAGCCAGTAGTCGCTGGAGACCAGATCTGGACTATACGGTGGATGAGGAAGCAAATCGAAGTATAATACGTGCAATTTTGTCATCGTTTTTATTGACTTGTGATATGGTGCATTGCCTTTATGAAACAAAATTTTTTTCTTCACCATATGCGGTCGTTTTTTCACAATTTCTGCTTTCGATCCAGTAATGCCGTGTAGTAGTTACCATTGATGGTTTTTCCCTTTTCGAAATAGTCAATGAAGATTATACCATGTGCATCCCAAAATACTGAAGCCATAACCTTCCCAGCTGACTGTTGTGCCTTTGGACGCTTCGGACGTGGTTCACCGGCTGCAGTCCACTTAGATGATGATCGTTTTGATTCCTTGATTTTGGAGTGAAGTAATAGATCCATGTTTCATCCATTGTAACTTATCGACGCAAAAAATCTAATTTATTACGTGTAAACATGATCAAACACTGCTCTGAATTATCAACAGGTTGTTGTTTTTGATCGACTGTGAGTAAACGCGGCACTCACTTCGAAAAGAGCTTTCTCATGGTGAAATGTTCATGCATAATTGTAAACACATTCCCAATTTCTGAACTTTTTTGATGTTTTCTGAAGTTACCACCTCAATTGGACGACCAGAACGTTCACCATCATCGGTGTCTGTACGACCACGTTTAAATTCAGCAAACCAATAACAAATGGTTGTTTTCGATGGAGCAGAGTCCAAATAACACTTTTGAAGCCATTGCTGAGCTTGTACAGTATTTTTTTTCATCAAGAAGCAATGATAAATTAACACACAAAATTGTTTTGAATCCATTGTTTTGAAAATAACAAAAGTAGCTTCACTTAAACGACTGTCATTTTTTCGTGACTAATCGAAATGTCATGAAATTTTACACATAGTCTTTCGAAGGTTCGTACTTCATAAAAGCCATATTATCAACCATGACTGATGTATTAGTTGTGTTGTGAGAAAGAAGCTGGCCCATTCTTCCTTATATATTTAATTATTTGGGTCGAAGTAAATAAAAGGAAACACATAAAAACCAACTGATTTTCGATTTATTTACGTAAACATAGGAAATCTATGTTATACTAGTTGACACAAGCATTGAATAATATTGCATTTCTTTGTAAGCGATGATTTGGTGATCGGGTCAAACTTGTGTTGTTTGAAATTTTGTCTTATCTTGGATTCTGTGTACTCTGTAATAATTAGTCACGTTAAATATATTCTATTACTTGCATTTTCTGGGTTAGCAACGTTTAGGATAAATAAATCAGCTTTAAAACGCGAAACATTTTGTCGATACTACATATTATTTTGAGTGAATGTTTCACGGATAGGATTATGTAGTGTAATAGCAACTATGTTATGTTATGTTAAATACACATAGATCAGTTTGTTCTTAGCGGTTCCAGATAAAGACTATGCTTGTATGTATATTTGTAGAAGTTATGCTATAGTATATCGATGGTTTTTGCGAGTATAATTAGTGATTGAAGCTGAATTCTTTAAACGTCCTCCAACCT